TTCATTGTAAGTGAGGAAACCCTCCCGATTATGACGGATAAAAATTTAAGATTTAATATTTTAAAAGTATATCTATTTAATGGACGAATTATATTCCGTCTCATAAGTGCAAGATGATAAGAAGAGTGTAAGAAGGCAGAAGAATAGAAAGATATATCTTGGTTTGAACTTGTCAAAAGATTCAAACAATACCATTCTAATAGCGAAAATATATGAGGTTGAAAATAAACTTTGAATTAGATGGCTTCCATGTGGCAATACACGTGTCAAACGACCAATGAATTAAATAAAATATAAATAAAGACAACACAAAGAATCAAATCATTAAACTCTCGAGCCTTAACATTGTACGTTATAGACTGATCTCTTTGAATTAAAAAAAAAATGGCTGATAACTCTTCCTCCCAAAAAATGAGCTTCCAAGCTGGTGAAGCCAAGGGCCAAGCTCAGGTGATCTATTCCTTAATTAAGTACACTCTTTTATATTTAAACGATGTATGTGTATGTATGTATATAGACATATATATTAGATAGATTATGAAAATGGTGATGTTGGTTTTGTAGGAAAAGGCAAGCAACTTGATGGACAGGGCTGGCAACGCTGCTCAATCTGCAAAGGAGTCCACGCAAGAGGTTGATGAATTCCCTTTGAACTTGGTTGATGATTGATATCCAAACACTACTGAAGGATTAATTTGATTGTGTTGCAGGCTGGTCAGCAAATGAAAGCTAAAGCACAAGGAGCTGCAGATGCTATCAAGGATAAAACTGGCATGAACAAGAATTAATTATTATTATTATTATTATTATTTGAATTGGATATATACGTTGTCCAATTTTATTTTTTTTATTATTAATTAGGTTATGTTTGCCATAGGCATTTAACCAATGCTCCTTTCTCGCCATTAAGAGTGAATTTCTTTTGAAATTAATGCAGTTTCTTCCTTGAATAAAGAGAAGAATGTAACGAAAGCAACCAAGTTATAAAATATTTTCAGGCATTTTTCACATTGAGGGTTATGATTGGTTTTAATTTCAGTGAAATTTCAGCACATTTGTTGGATACTGAACTTGTAATTTTAGAGATATCCATAATTTAGTCCAAATAAAAAGAAATAATCTCTTATAAAATGTAAGTTAGAACGAGATAAAAAATTATATTAAAAAATATATCAAAATTAGACTAAAAGTAAAAAGGAAATATAATAAAAAAAAAAATTCACACTTATGGACAAATAAGTTAAACCCCGATAATTCGAATCTCTTTTGCAATATTCTACACCCCTAAGGTAACAAATTATTATTTTTGGCTTGAGAGTTTTGTTCCTCTCTTATTCTATATTTTTTCTTCCGAATAATATCTCTTCATGCCAATCTAAAATAATTCTTTTTTTATTTGAAAGATAATGAATATATTGTAGCTTGCATTTACTTTTTTCTTAGAAACAAAACAAAAAATTGCAATCATGCAATGCAACTGCTGGCAGGATCCAAGGCAAGATTCTAATGAGACTTCATAAATTGAGTTGCTTTCGCTTCAATTATGTATTTGTATGTGTGTTTTGACCGTGTGCATAAACCTAAATTATGTCTAAAGAATTATAATTTTTTTTTTTTTCTGCAGCTCTAATTCATTTGTAGGAATTTTGGACTGCATGTTTGCTATCTTAAAGTGACATATAAAACCATACTAAAGGAGCAGTTCTGGGACCATACAGCATAAAAAAACCTTTCATGGAATACAGATCTCAAAAACATGAAGCTCTATATGGACTTCCACAGCTTAAAGTGACATGTAAATGGCTTCCAAATATGGAGACCCACATGCTCAAAATCATAAATTCAAGTTGCTTTATATATTTTTTATGCTCCAACTTATATTCTAATTATTTTCAGTCATATTTCAATTTTTATTGGATCTTCTTGTGTGACATATGAGAATGAATATGCATTGAAGTCATTAATTCAAAACGGGTGTGATTCCCACTTATTTAACATAAAAATATGTTAAAACTAGAGTTTATCTCAAAAAATTTATGGTGGTAGTAGTTAAACTGGTCACTGTATAAGTGATTGGAGGCTCAAAAAATTTTAGAAAAGTAATTTTTAATTTAAAATTTTTTTGAAGTTGCCACCTATCCTATTAGAAATGTGATCAAATGCTAAAAATTCACTAGTGTATTTTAAGAATTCTGAGTTTGGGGGTAATACAAGCTAAGAACTTGTGAGGCATAATAATAACAAGAAGTAAAAAAATAGAAAGCATGAGTTCAAAATCTTTTAGTTCAAAAAAGCACAAAATTTTAAAGTACAAAATATCAAATAGCAAGAAGCTAAACTAAAATGGAATAATAACAATGAAAATAATAATAATAATAATAATAACAGCAATAATAATAATCTAACATAAAATTTATACAATAAAAAACATCATTAAAATAAAATCAGAGTAGAACATTCTAAACTCATCTATAATCTATTATAATCTTTAGTTTCTCTAATTTATAGTCCGATTGAATTTAGATTTTACGAAGTTCGATTCAATTCTAACCCATTGCCATTCGTAATTAGAATTTAATAATAATTATTTTTTTAAAATAATTATTACGATCAATCATTACAATATCTTAAAATGAAATTATTAAAATAATACCCTGGATAAGTCTCATATTTGGCTTGTTGAACATATTATAATTACTAATAAGAGAAGAGTCAATATTGTTCCCACCAATTTATCCCATATAATATGCTTATAAATGGAAATCATGCTCATATTCACATTGTTTAAATATACATAAATATTTTTAGATATAGCTTACATATATTGGGAAAATCATTTATTTTGATGTGTAAAAGAAAATGTATTAAAGAACATCTAATTCAAAAAATACTATTGTTAGAACAACAAAATAATAGTTATGAATGACTAAATCTAGTTCATATCAAGTATCAGAAAATCAGAACTGTTTACAAACCAAATGCAAAATCTGCTAACATAATTGAACAAACTTTGCTATGAATTTAATAGTAAGTCTACAAATAGATTACAAAATCCATTGATGGTTCATCACTTTCTAAGGAGCATGAGTGAAGAAAGAAGAGGAGAAAAGGTAGAAAGGGAAAAGAAAATTAAAAAAATAAATAGATAAATAACTTATTTAATTTTCAAAATTGAACAAAAAGTTAGCTATTCACTTAAATTAGGTACTTTAGGATAAAGATAGATCATACATTAATGAGATATGTTAATATTTAGGAAATGAAATCATATAAAAGTAATAAATTAGTGGTTAGAGAAACCTAAATTATATATAACTAAGGAAATATGCAGCATTTAATATTATCAAAATTGTTTATTAACTGCATCGATTTAGAGATGACAACAAACAGGTTCAGAAATAGTTTTACTAAAATTGAACTCGTCTCAATTACAGATTACATTGTTTCAAAACCGCTCTAAATCCAACTGAGTTTATAAAAGAAAAAAAATAGTTTCATTTGCACGATCTGAGTTTTTGGTAAAACCTGTCCGATTTTATCCCATATGATAAAAATATTAAATGATGAGGAAAGAGTCGAGATCGACTCACCAAAAGATGAAGTATTGAAGGTGGCAGAGGCAACAACAAGAGATAAAGATGCTGAGTGGTGAAGGCGGGGATGTCAGAAAGCCTATCACCTATGGACTATGGAGTGTGGAAATTGGAAGGTAGCCGTGTGTGAAAACATTGCAGAGCTTCAAAGGTATAGAGGCTTACAGGCAGGCGACTAGGAAAGGCAAAGATAAAGAGGAAAGTGGCTATGCTACTAAATGAAGATTGGACTTGGGAGAGTTGGAGAGGAGATTGTGTCGACTAGAGTAGTGATAGAAGTCCTCTTTACAGCTTCTTATCTTTTTTAATATCTTAGAAAATATAATCTTATATGTATATATAGTGGGGGATTGGATTTGTATGAATTTTTTAAATGTAAATCTTAACTCGTCCTGCATCGACAAGACAACTTTAGAAAATCCTATAACCAAACCCGGTCTACTTGGGTTTTACTTTAAACCCTCAATGATCTTCAGCAAGATGGATGCTTTTTTGACAGTTCCATATCTATTCGCTTGCATTTGCCACCACCCCAACTAGCAACTCAAAGGCAAATCAAACTCTCAACTCATCATTAACAGCATAACTGTTGACTGCAATATCTCTTATCCCAACACATACTCCAACATGCAACAACTCACCCCATAAATGTATCAGGTAAACATTAACTAAAATATACTCTCTAAAGGTTTTAAATTTTTTTTTTTTTTTTAAAAAAGGTTGTGTTGATTAAAATTTATTTATTTTTTGATTTAATTATTAGTTTATTTGTAGAAGTAAATGAAAGACTATAAATTTAGCATCAATCAAATAATATCTTAGTCTCCTCAAATTTATACTCGTCAAATTCTTAATAAAAAAACTTAAAACACATTAATTTAATTAATATTTTAAATAATCATTATCTATTTTGCAAAAATAATTGAAAATCTTTAAGTTTCTTCCTTCATTTTAGTCCTTGAGAAGTCTTGATGATTTATTTTTTAATTAATATTTTTTTTAAAATTTTAGTTCTTTAGGTGAAAAAATATGTACATGTGAAACATTTTAAAAATTATATCCTTTATATATTAAAACAAATAGTAGTATATTCTTTGACTAACAATTAAAACTATAAGTATCAAAATTGATAAAAATAAACAACAAATATTAAATTCAAAATATCTCATACTGAGAAAAAATTAAACTATAATTTACCTTACACTATAATTAATTACAAAATTAAGCATGCTTACAACATTGACGACATAAAAAAGCTTTTGTAAACAAATTTTTTATTATCATACGGTGTTCATAAAACTAAGTAGCTAACTAGAGTTCTTTTAGAGAGAGAGAGAGGATTAAAAAATTTATTATAATATAGTCGA